CGCTGCACCGCGCCGCGGCCATCGGCCACTTTAGAATCGCCGATGTTCTGCTGGATGCCGGGGCGGACATGAATGCGATATCTGCGGAAGGAAAGACACCGCTGGATCTGGCGATTAGCAACGAGCACAGTGTTTGCGTCGAACTCCTGGTCGAGAGGAAAGCGGTAGCGGGCGCCAGATGGTATTTGTTCAGATGCGGTTTTATCGAGATAACGTGCTGACCGAAGAGAGGTGATAGTAAGACACCGCATAGGGAAAGCAGAAAGGAAACACGTTGGCAAAAGGCATTTTTAAGCATTTTTTAGGATTATCAGAAATAAAAACACATTTTATTATTAAAGTTACTGATGTATTTAACAAAACTTAATTAATAAACGAATTACGTATTTAATTGTTTAAACTACAAGCATTTAATTACATAGCCTCAGAATCAAAAATTCATCATGTGCTTTCCTTCAATAAGAAAATTTGCAAGTGAATTTGCATACAAATGAGCAATGATTCATAATTCAATTTTTTTGTCTAAAAATGTTTACAGCGAAATATTATGTGACGTCTGTCCCGCAACCTGGGGTGAGCACAAACATTTATTTCGTTTTCCCGCTCCCGGTGGAGGATGGGATCCAGGTCCTTCTCTTGCTGAAAGTCACCATTCACATTAAAATGAAGTCCGGTCTGAATGTTTTACCTTTCTTGTAAAAACGGAAACAACAACCAACGTTTATTTTCCCCTGAACTATTCGCACAACAAAAAAGCAACAACAAATAAACAAGACAAAGATTGATTGATGCAAGGTCTCCTTCGCCCGGCATGTGACACGGGCGCTGGTCGGGAAGGCGGGCACGCTCAAGGGCTCTAGCGTCTCGGCCGGCCCTGGCACGGGCTCATCTGGGCGATGTCGCGCCCAGGTAGACGGCACGCAGCGTCTTCGTGCTGCAGGCGCGGGTGGCGCTTCGATGGCTGCGCCGAGGGTGCGTTGGGGTAACGTGGCGGCCCGGCTAGCACAACAGGTGCGCGACGTCCCCGTCTGCGACTGAGCACTGGAATGACGCGACGGCACGGTCACCAGAGCCAGTAGCGACTGGGTAGGCAGGGCGGCGCCTCGAAGGTTGCGCCGGAGGCGTGTCGGAATGACGTGGCAGCCCGGACGGCGCTGCGCTCCATTCAACTGCCTCCTTGCCGGACTCCACTCCTTCACTTTCTCAAACTGCCGGACACCTCTCCTTCACTAACTCAACTGCCGGACACATTTTTCCTTCACTAGTTCACAAACACTGCCGGACTCCTCTCGTTCACCTCGTAAACTGAACTGCACAACACCTCTGCTTCACGAACTAAAACTCAACTACTTCGACCCGATCACCTCGCTCCCTCCACTGTCTCACTCCGCGCCGTCCCGCATGCCCATCTTCGAACTACCCCACTACACTGCCTCTTCTTGTCTCCTCGCCGCCATTGTGGCTCACTTACAAACGGGATGACCTAGTCCATCACGTCACCTTACCTAAAACAACTACAATGATCAGATCAATAAAAAAATACACGTTCGTGTTTTTAAATTGTTCATTATTGTTGCTAATTGTAGCGAAACAGAACTAGAGGTACACCCGCTCATTAAATAAGCGCTTTCTTGTTTTCTCTATTCAGTAAGTATTCAAGTAAAGAAAAGAAACTTGCACAGAACCTAGAAAATACCTTAAAATTAAAGAAATACCCAGAAAAAGTATTTCTTTTTCAGATGAAGCATTAAATGGTTTAAAAAATGAAAAAAATGTCTTTGTAATGAAATCAAAAACATAATAATAACGAAAATTAAAAATTATTTACTTCCATTATGGATTACGTCATGATATCCGCTACCACCACGGAATTTATGCCTGAAAACATATTTATACATTGTGATATATTCGGTTTTCCTTAATTTGTGTAAATGTCTTCCATTCTTGATATGTTTTTTCCAATACCATATTTGTTTTTGCTTGATTTCATTGTTACTTTTGCAAATAATAACGACTATATTGCCACTCAATTTATAACTTTCACTTTCTCCTTAAAGGGTGGGTGTAAATATTTACAATTGTAATGTTTATACTTATTTGTATTTATTTTGGATTTATTTTGTTAATAGAGTTTTTTTATTGGAAACATATTGTGGTAAGTTCTTTCCCCTCTATTTACATAAGGTAAGTGATGCAAATGTGGCCAGTACAGGTAATATGGGTTAGTTGTGGCTATGTTGTTACTTGAAAATGTTTACCACAGATAGTATTAGCATGATGTCTGGGAGAGCGTAATAAGTGCGTTAACACCCTACCAGGCTTGTTGACTGGCGCATTCGCACTGTGGAACCTCAATTGTGAAGAAAGTGCTGAAGGCATTATAACTTCTTTCCTGGTAATTTTATCATTAATTACACGTAAAGGAGTATTTACGATTTTGACAGTTTGCATCATCGTTTAGAGCATTAATGAACAATCTAATGAGATTAATGCCGTTAAATTTGCTCTATATTTTACCAACGTGGGAGATATTTTATAACATTTTGTTTTTGCTGTCAATATGGCCAAGGGTGTATAACTGACTATTAAAGGCAAAGAAATTTTCATTTTTCTTCAACGTCAAACTGATTAAACTATATTTTTGTAAGTTTTCAAACAATTAGTGATATATTCAACTTTGTGTAATAAAGTCTCATTGTAGACAATACTAAACTTGTTATGAGTAAACCAGCACCTCTTTAGTTACTGAAATCAGGCCTAATTTTTGTAAAATTAGACTATAAGAGCGTGATTCATATTATATATTTGTATAACTAGCCCTAATTACAAGGTCATTCTACAAGAAACCAGAAAATCTGGCAATGGCCTAAAACCTGCATGTTGGATATTACCTCCACAATACAATTTTTTTTGTAAAACAAGAACAAAATATTCCTGAATTACTTTTTTCGTGATATAGCTATTTCAACGTAAAGCGAAAGTGTTAAATTTTATCACGATGCAGTTAATTTGTCCAAAGGTTAAAATATATAACCAAGAAAATTTGAGGCGTTTAACACGGCCATAGTATTACCTTCATATACCTTATATTCTCTACCTCCTATACATTTTTCACTTATAATTATTTTATTCCATTAGTTTCACACTGATCACTGTGAAATTTTATTTTTAATACTTTCATCTAAAACAATATCATACTTTTTTCATTTATAGGCAAGTATATTAATTTTTTGTTCTCATCTGATGATTCCTATAAATATTACGTGAAAGAACATGCTGCAATACCATAAGAACTTTTTTTTGGAAAAAAAATATTGCATTGGCCAAAAAGGATTGGATATGGATTGGCCAAAAAGAAAAAAAGATACCTGAGTATTAAAATATTAATTGTCATAGTATTTCCGCAGTATCTTTCTTTTCCAAATATGAATAAATATACAAAAGTCAGAACAGTTACTACTTAATTATAAAACATATAGTTTAAAATATTTTACAAATGTAGATGTTTATTCGTTGCCTAGATACATGATATAGGCATGGAACATATATATCGGTATCGCAGACATTAAAGCTCCCGTAAGTGCAGTGTACGTTTTTATCCCCAGAGGTGGCGGTGATTTTGCTCCGCTTGTGTGCGAGTTCCGGCGCCGACCTACGTCGCTTGAAGAGATTTTCCACAAGCAGGTATCTCCCACCAACAAGGAACCAGCCCCGTCAGGACAAGCTGTAACATTCCGACTGACCTCTCGACATGTGTGTTAGTGTAATGCATCCGGGTGTAAGGGTGTGTGAGTTAGGGGTGAGGAAAGGGCCAGGAAGAATAAGGAAACAACATGCGCTGTTCGTTTCGGTTACAGGTGAATTCATCTTAGTTGACAAGCTAGTGTCGAAAATCCTGTCACCGTCGTGTTGCGAACTCCAGGCTTTTCCGGTTCGAGGCACAACAGCTACAATGCCGCACGCAAGGAGAACGGATCGGGGAAGCTTAATAGCCCTGAAGGCTTATTAACCCCTTCCTCAGAAGGCAACGCTACATATTGAAGATATAGACTTTACTAATTTCTATACTAACTAGTCATCCAACATTCTGCCACATTATCAATATTAACTACAACTAAACATATCAAACACATTGTAAATTCATAGTAAATGAAAATGTATGCATTAGCAAAGGATAAGTCATAAGGACTTCATCTCTTCCACACCCCAACACACACACTCTCTCGAAAAAAACATTTTTGTTTTCGTCACTGTGTAACGCGGAAAGTCTTCAGCGCTGCGAAGCCCAACACCAAACCCCACGTGTTCTCGTACTCTGTCCTCTCCCCACCCCTTACTCTCCCGTCATACGTCACTGGAAGTAAAATCTGACAGCCAGGGAGAGCACAGCGGATGGAGTCGGGAGCGCCGTGTCGCCGGCGTAAAAATAAAAACAAAGCACAGGAAGCGGGGGATACAAAAGACCGCGAGGCAGACGGAGAAGTGAATATTTTTTACGAGAAATTTTCCCACCGGGATCTGCGCATGTTTATGTATGTCTCGGATGGATCTGACTGCAGTGGCTTCCACCGGCAGGAATGGGGGAAAGGGGAATCCCTTGCAGGAAAGGGATGGGGGAATGCCTTGCAAAAGTCACAGAGCCCACCGGCTCTACGAAGTTCAAGGAATTTTGCGGCATGTGGGGCGGTAACAGTAGCGTCCGTATGAACTAGGGGAAGGGTTTTATTTCATAATATTATGAACGCGTAATATTGATGGTCTTAAATATGGATTTCTACTCAAAATTAACCGACAGGTTCTGTGTTCACCACCGACCCTGTGAGTTTGTTTTATGACTTTTATACTTTGTCAACACAAATGTTAAATAAGATTGCAGACAATGAACACTCTTGTCTTACACCTTGATTATTGTCTACAGTTTGTTTCCCATTTTTTTGTATTATTATTATTATTATTATTATTATTATTATTATTATTATTATTACATTTTCTCTATTCAGGCTCTGTTTAACTCTTATTAGATGTTTTGGTATCCCTTTCTTTTTTAATTTTTTCATAGTACTGTCCTCTTAACTTTATCAAAAGGTTTCTCTATTCTATATTCTCTATTCGATGAACAGATAGAACGTGGGTAAATTTAGTTCTGGTCTGTTAATTGCGTAGTTGTAAATATACAGTTACTCTAAGTTCTTTCTCTCCTAAATACATGTTCTGAGATTTGGTTTTCCATTATTGGATTTCTTCTTCTTCCTATTATATTAGCATTGATTTCATAGCAAGAGTTTAATAAGCTTATTCCTCTATAATTGCTACATAATTTTATGTCTCCCGATTATGATAAACAAAAAACTGTGTAAAGAAAATTAAAACGCGTTACTACTATGCTAATTTCTAAAACTAACTAGTATTTGTAACTAAGATTTGATCGTTGAGGACACGCGGGGAACGCTCGTTGTGTATTTCGTAAAGTGTGTGAAAGAAAATAGAAAATTGGGAATTCATTACACAATTACTGTTTCTTATTTTGTTCTGACAAGGAATAACTTCCGGAAATTTTTAAAGGGACTGTGATTTTTGTGAAACGTTTGCGCCAGGAACAGTAACATGATGCTGGAGAGAACGCGACTGAGTGAAAGATATCGAGCCTGAAGTAAACGAAACTTCAGACTAGTGCAGGTTCTGTTATGTAATTTGCCGTTATCGCATTTCAAAGCTCGCGTGGAGGAACCGTAGGGTTCATTTGTGGATTACTTCGTGGCTCCGGGAGCGTCAGAGGCTACGATCATTACGTCAGGAAGCTGTTGGGGCGAGGGGGTGTTCTTCCCCCGCTGGATGAGATCCGGCGCCCACCTACACTGCATCTATGGCTTTCCTCAGGTGTCTTCCACTAGCGGGGCACCGCCCCCCCCCCCGAGACAAGTCTACCGACATGCACGCTAATGTAGTGCATTTAACCGTGCGTGAGTGAGTATGTAAGAGATGTGGAGAGTACAAGAACGGAAAGTTTTCGTGCGATCCTTGGCTTGGTTGTTAGACTCCGGTTGGAAAACTACCGGTCAGAGCAGACGGCTGCTAAAATTCTCCTCCTGATAGCGGACGGACTTCCGCTGCCCATCTACCTATCGAAAAATCCTGCCACCATTGGGACTTGAACCCAATGACATCAGTTGTCTTGGGGTGAGCAACATCAGTTGTCTTGCCGTGAGCAACTTCAACCGGTCAACTGCGTTGGTGATTGTCTCACTTCTGCCTCGCCCGCTGAGACTGGCGCGGACACCACTTTTCATGGTTTCTTTACTCTGACATGGAAATGGTCTCCAGACTCCTATTTTTCAATGTCTAGTTATTAAGTCCGCACTAGCGTAGCCTATGAGCACCTACGTGCCAGCGTAGTGACGGGAGTTAGCCGGTTGGTGGTACATGGCCATCCATTGAGCATCCATACATTTTATTGCAGTACTGAGACTTATGGAGTATGGCGCTCTATTTCTATGCAATACAATTTTACATAAGACTCTCTTTCTATAGCAAGCTGTTTACAATTTAAGAGGGTTGGGGTTATTCTGCTCGGCCATCCTGTTTCACGCGCATTATTTAACATGCTTACTCAACGATAGCTTAAATTGTATTAATCTTACACAATTGAGTTTTTTACCAGTTATTCCCACAATTCTAATGAACGTGATGGTTATTTTGTAAATGAGTTTGATGGTTTAATTACAAAGAAATTAATAATAAATGATAGCCAAGTGTTTACGTCTACATTTAGATGTTAAATTTATAGATAGTGATCCTACCCATAGGCTAGAGTTCCTATACAGTTTTTTTTAAAATTTATTGTCTACCTGTTCAACATACATGTTTTTCAGGGTTGTGAATACAATCATAC